GGGGGGAGGGGGGGAGGAACTATCAACATTGATCCCTGGTGTCAGTAGTAGCATTGAAACCCTAAAAATCAGATCAAAATCCCAATGGCCCTTTTTGAATCCAAAATTTTGTGGCACCCTATACTGGTCAAATCACTGATGACAAACCCTAATTTGGGCCAAAAACAGACAAAACTAACCATCATACCCCAATTAGATGACACATGACCATGTGGCCTACCTAACCACCATATGGTCAACACATGACCATATGGTTAACCTAGGACTATATGATCAACACATTGACCTTATGATGAACACGTTGGTCATAGGGTTAACTTAAGGACATGTGACCAACCCAATATCAAAATAAGTCCACATGGTCAATCCTATGGCCATATAAATAACCACAACCATGGGATTATTTGTTTGTGCATCTCACTTAATCAATTAATTAATTAATTAATTGAAGAGAAATGTCATGAAGGGCCTAGCCTAAGCCCAATCAATAAATGAACAATTTCCAAGCCTAAGCCCAATTTCATCCATGGCCCATCCTTATTAGGTCACCCATGAATCGATAGCACCCACCATAACATTAGAAACCTATTCGAAACCATACAAGTCCCAATTTTTTTCTCATTTTTTTTTCTTAGGTTTACGTACATGCCAACCAGTCCTTTGTACATGCCAACCAGTCCTTTGTATTTACTAATGTAACATTTACCCTTCAATTTTTATATTTATAGCACTTTACCTCTACATGAAAAAGGTGAATTTCACCTTTGTTTTTAACTTATAATAGTGTTAGTTTTGATGTCATATGAAAGATTTTGATGTTAAAAATGCAAAAAATAAAATTCATACGTTCAATACATATATTTATAGGAATTTGGTGGTATTATGTAAATGCTCAAATATTTTCTTTGAATCACAACAAGAAAAATAGTTATAGCCACTACAATTCCAGTGGCAGTCTGAGCATATAGAAAGTACGAGGTTTTAATTTCTGAGAAATTAATAATACTTGGAAAGCTATTTATGCATAATCATTGTTGCTATAGGTTATGGGACAAAATATTTATTCATTCTACCAAATTAAGTAAATATAAAAAATTAAAAATTTACAAATATCCCATCCATCTGTAGCTTAGAACTGAAAGGCAAGCCACATTTTCTGAACATATGGATGGAATATTGGATGGTCCACTACTTTATTAAAAACCATTATGTTTGGCATCAATTGCATGTGGAAATACTTTCTACATTCCCTAAAAATTGGTTCTTTCTTGCTCTACAAACACAGTTCTTTTAAACAAAAATTGAACAAATAATCCATTATCTACAGTAAAAATGAATAATTTTTTATCTTCTTTTACAAACAGATGCAATAAATAGAAAATCACAGCCCAACGAGAGCCTTACAAATTGAAGAAAGGTAGATGTATCGATCATAAAAAAAGTTCCTTAGAACACATTTCTTTTCACAGACACGAACAGTTGGGAAACAGGACCTGTAAAATAACCTAATGAACTATTTATATTGATTTTTGTTGTCTATATTTCTTCCAGAATCCTCTGTGGCAATCCCATCTATTGGATCCAAATCTTCAATCCCAACTGTCACGGCTGTGTTGTTCCAATTGTTATAACCATCAATGGTCAAGTTCTTGATTCTGGCAAGGATGGAATCATCTCTACTCATCATCTCAATGTCTACAACAAAACAAAAGAAAAAGAAAATCAAATGTTTCCAGGATTATTAATTCAATACTTAAACGGCAAAGTAGCTTGCTCTGAAATTTCTTAAACTCTTAATAATGAAATCAATCAAACGCACATAGCTTCTTGATTCAGGAATTACATAAATGTTTCATTTGATTCTTTTGATTCAGGAATTACAGTAAGGCTTCATTTGATTCTTCTTCTCTTTTAAGTTTTATTTTTTTTTTGTTGTTTTTCTACGATGATGAATATGATTCAAAACCCCTTTGATCAATACTGAATAAATACTCATCGACTCGGAGAAACCATCTCAACTAATGAATCCTTAAAACAAGAAACAAAAGAGATTTTGAAATCCTAATTTCTTGATTGCAAAAAGCAAAAGAGTCATAAGAAAAGAGAAAAATCGTACTAGGGTTGGAGAACATCCAAAGAACCGTGGCGCAAATGATGATAACGATAGGGATGAGGTGCACCAAGTTCTCCCCTCCAATGCGCCGCCTCCTTCTTCTCAATCTTTATCTGGGGACCGTACATCGAAAGATGATCAAGCCCAACAGTCGATCTCAGACATGCAACTTGCCCGACGCTCATGTAATACTCATCAGAGACCCTCGTCGTGCTCGCCGTTCGATGCATCACTTTTAAATCTTAGAAAGAAAATTTGGATGGAAGGAGAGAAACAAAGAGAGGCGAGAGCTGGTTGAAGGGTTAAAGGGGGCGAAGAAGAAAAAAATCAATGACTAAATATATCACGTGCGAATGCCTCCTGTGCGGCATTAGCACTCCAGAATTGATCGATGTGCGCGTTCTTAGTTTATGTTATGTAACTGTAAAGGAGATGCCTCAGCCAGTGAGAGCAGGCCAGCCACGTGTTTGACGATATGTCTCACATGGATAATTTGGCAATTTCGGGTGAAAGTCAACCTAGACCGTCATTTTCCAAATTTCAGCCTAAATACGAGACAAAATAATGGCTGATGAAAAATGTCTCCATGAAAAAAAGAAAAAAAAATTGTATTGCATATATATATATATCCT